ATGCCGTATAGTTGAACAAATATAGGCCTAGTGTCGTGTACTGTTAAATGTGGGCTATGTGCCGTATATTGAAATGTGTGTGACTGGGGTGTAGTAACGCCAGTGTAATGTGCTATGAATGATTCAGCGATATACTGGGGATGTGAGAGATGAGGACGGTAGAAATACCTTGGGAAAGAGGAAGTGGTGGTGACACCGACTACGGAACGGGTGCACCACAGGTCACACACTCTCTTCCTGACTAGACCTTTGATCGCTATCTTTGCTGAGCGACCCGTTACTGCCCACGTGATATTTGTGAGGTGGGGGTAACCGACGACCATTCATGGTGTAAATCTGTGATCACAATACTATAGTGAATGTGGTTGGTATATGTATGCATGGATTTGTGTTTTGTACTTGTGGATGTGAAATGCTGCTTGTGATTGTGTTTGTTTAATGTATTGGAATGTTTTGGAGGTGAGACTCTACGTTTATTGTGTGTTTTAGGTAGTGTAGAGTATTCACCCTTACATTCATTTTTCAGGTAACTAAGACGATTAGCACCGGGTTTAGCGAAGGGACGGATGAACTGCTATAAGACTTAGAATTTCTTTTGAAAACGTTGTAATTGAACTAGTCTTATAGCAGTTATTTGATATTAAATTGTAACCCTTCACTTATTTCGAAATCTTTTATAAAAATTTAGTTATCCGATTTGCGAAATATTGAAATTAAATTTAAGGTGTTACAAATAGTAATAATGAAAATAAGTTATATTACCTTCATTCATTTTTTAATATATAAATAAATCAAACAATAATTTTATTATTTTTGTCTAAATTTATGTAAGATAAAAGGTGCATCACGTCCATAAAAATCTCTAAAATTATGCTTGTTGGAGAACATTTTTTTATGGTAAAATATTGTTAAGAAATATTAATATATTAGATGTATTATGTTTTTAGCAAAATATATAACAACCTCTTTTTCATTATTTGATAAATGAATACTTTGTTTGATATTAATTAAGTAGTATTAGAATGCATTTAGAAATGAATTATGAGGGTTTTGGAAGAAGTTTGGTGCAAAGAGTCTCGCTCAGGCAAGACAAATCTCGCTAAAGCGAGATTGAGCACCCAGAACCACAAGGTTTCAGGGCAATCTCGCTTAGGCGAGATGGTTCTCAATCAAGCAAGATAGAATAAATTTAGCTTAACTGTCACCTCGCCTAGGCGAGAGGTGATCTCACTCAGTTTTATCGTTTTATTAAAATGTTTATTTTGTGCTTATTGGAGCACTATTATATAAGGATTTTTATGAAAGTATGTTTGAATTATATTATACATGAATGATAGCTGAGAATATGCATGTTTGATTATCTGGATTGATTGGCTGTGATATGTTCACATGAAATACGTGATGAGTGATCATGATGTGATAACATGAAATATGTACATGAGTAGTTGTGGTTGTGATAAAATATGATATTGGCTTGAAAAAACATGATGTTTGAAAGTATATTCTAATGGTGTGAGTGAGATGGACTTAGTCTGAAAGTGTTTTACTAAGCACAATCTTGTAAGTAAAGAAGGAAATGATTTCAGAATGACTATAAGTGTCGAATGGAATAAATCTAGTGTAAATAGTTACAGAGATACACTAGGGGGTATAAAGTCTGGATATGGTGGAAAATCTAGGAAAAACGTAGGGTGGTGAATGACATTTGCATATGTGTACATATTCTTTCTGAGAGCGAATGCACCACATCGCCTCACACTTGTTTCCTGACTAGACTCTTGACTATACCTTTGTTAAGAGGCCCGATTATTGTATATGTTGTATCCGTGTACATGGGTTAATCAGCGACTATTTACCTAGTTGAGTAAGACCTCAAGAAATGCTGGAGGTATCGATATCTATAATCACAGTGGATTGGGAGTGCTATTGGAAAGAGAAATTGGATAATGTATAATAAATTGTTGAATTGTGTATATGTGAATATGTTTGCAATGTGAATGGATTGTGAAAATGAATATATTTTCTTTATATTACAACTATGATTCTGTGATATAATAATTTGTAAATGATAGAATGTATGCTCATCCTTACTAACATTTTCAGGAAATCAGGATGACAAAGCCTCAAGAAAGAATTAGGCTAATAAGTAGTTCTGTACAATGTAGGCTTAATTATGTATTTAATGAATATAAGAGGACATGCCAATTTAAGCTGGCTATACATGTGGATGATGTACTTATGAATATTATTATGTTAGAGATGGATCTATTTTATAGTATTCCCTTTGATTTTCCTGTAAGTAGAATACACCATACTACTGTTAGAACTCCATTAGCCTTCATATATCTATTTACATACCATGACCATCTTAGAAGGCCAACCCTTATTATTGGTGAATGAGTCACAGGGGTTGAGATTACAGCTGACTCACTGGATCTATATCTCAGATCAAATGATGATTTTGACTCCGAGGATTTGGGAGAAATGACATAAGAATGACTAATACTGAGTTCTTAGTATTGAAAAATGTTTTAACTACTCTGACCTTTACTCATTTTGGTTATATAATTATTTTATGGGATTTCATTCATTTTGATACAGTTTGTAAATTATGGTAATTGATATACTCAACACTTATATTTGTAAATTATTCTAGATCATAATTTTATTTATTGTTATTATAGGAATACTGTATTGCCCGTAAATCTTACGGATAATTTTATTCACAAAAAAAAAAATTTAAGTTATTTATATTTAATATCTATTGTACATAAAAATTTGTACTTTATCTTGATTTAATATAAACAAATAAATAGTTTAAGAATTAAAAAGTTAAGATGTTATAGAATAAATTATACTTTTTTTTGTTTTAGTGCACAGGTGTTTTGAGAAAAACTTGGACTTAAAGCTTCAAATGGTCAATAGCTATATATTATTTATTTTTTAAATTCTAATAACTTTTATAATAAAAAATAAATGAATATTTTTGCAACTTATGTTTAACTTTTCTTTTATAATTGATTATTGGTTACTTTCTTATTATTTTTCTTGTGCCTTAGTTGGAATTAAATATTGACCTACAATTTTTTGATAAATATCGTTGTTCATGGTGTTTTAGCTCAGCATAAGTTTTTTTTTTTGAACTTGTCATATTCATTCATGTACGTGAAAATTACTTTCACATTTTATTTTTTAAATAATAATTATTATATTACTAATTTAAATTAGAAAGAAGAGTAACATTTGTTTTAACCATGAAAATTGTTTTCGTTAGATAATTCAAATATCTTCAGTTGTTTTATTTTTAAGAGAAGCAGAAAAATAAAAAATTATTATTATTGAATAATTAAAATAAAAAATATCTCCATTTATTTATGATAACAACGTAAGTTGTTTTTTCTACCGAAATACTTTACATAAAAGTAGGATGACGTAGGCCAGCTGGGAGTTATTTTAAATCTTTTTATTAAATTAATAAATATGAGTTGGATTTATTATTTGCCCTTAATTCTTATAAATGGTTAAGATTCATGCACTTTCTTGTGCAAGTTGTACTTTAGAGGAGTACTTTCCCTTTATAATACCATGATAAAATTCTTAGAAAAGTACAGAATGTTAGAGAGTTAAAAAAATAAAACAAAAACATTTTTTTTATGATTTTATGAGTAAAAGAGAAGACATGAAATTATAATTAAGGTGTCAAGAGGTTTATATCATTTCTTATAAAGCATAAATATTTACAAAAATAACTAAAATTTTAAAAATTAGACAGTATTTTATGAATCATAATTTTTTTTTTCTTTCAAGTATTTAACACACTGAAACAAATTTTACTGATTAATCCATATGTTCGGTGTTAAATTATAAATATTTTATAAATATAGATAAAATATTAAAAATATAAAACAAAATTATGAAAACCATTATAATTAATAAAATAATTTTTGTTGACGTTAAAAAAATATAATTATAAAAATGAATTTGAAAACATTTATAATTAAAAAAAACCAAAATATTGATTCAATTGACTATATAGTGGTGATTTGCATATATCTCATTATATAGTGAGTAAAAAAAAATTAAAGAGAGAAAAATTTCCTTTAATTAAATAATTAATCAAGAATATAAATTATAAATTTGAAATAAAAAAAACATGTTGACGATATACGAAAAACATCGAGTTGAATGAAAATTGGTTCACAATGCTGTCTGAATTACACTCTCATTCACTATAATCGTTTTACTTTTGACCATTTTTTATTAATTTCATTCTTAATTTGGAGATAAAAATTGTCACTTAATTTTTACTTATTAACTTATATAAATTTTTATATTCTTCATAAATTTTTGTGTTTATATTTATAATTTTTTATTATTTTTTATAAACTTTTTGCAAATATCTTTATTCATGTAAAATTCATAATACTTAATATATTAGCTCTATTATTTTTAAATAAATTTTATTTTAAAATTATTATAAATTTTTAAAATTTTTATTATTTTAAAACATACTATTTGTATTTATAAAATTAAATAAAAATATTTTTAATATATATATATATATATATATATATATATATATATACATATAAATAAATAAAATAGAGACGTGCATTTCACAAACAACTAACTAATTTACATCTGCGTACAAGTTATCTCCCTCCAAAAATACTTATATCATAATATATGATCAATACATTGCAAGCAAATGCAATCGCTGTTACAATCAGATTATGGATGTAAAGAGAACTACAAGTATATAAGCACAGGAAAATGAAGTAAATAACAGGAAAAATATGGTATATAAATATAAATAAATGTTTTTAATTTTTATATTTTTGTGAGATTTTAATTTATGTTCTCTAAGAAAATATTATAATCAACAATTTTTTTTAAAAAATGAAACATTTTTAAGTCCCTTTCATTCACATGATGCAATAAAAATTTAATCATGTAACAGATGCAAGTACATTTTGTGTAAATATATAGTAAATTGATGTTCATGGTTGGTTGCTAGTTGAAGTGGGTGTATGGTTACTAACTGGGTATTTCTGAGCATTCTTGACGATTTTGGTTAGTGCTGCTTGGCCAAGATCAAGACCACAAACATCAGCAAGACGAATTAGATACAGCAATACATCTGAAAGTTCTTCTTCTAACCGTTCTTTGTCATCACAACTCCAATTGGGTAATCCCTTTGCAACCTCTCCTTTCCATTGGAATATCTCAGATAGCTCCCCCACCTCTCCAACCTGCACAATTCAAGTGTTCAATAACTATATATCCATCAGAGAGTGTCAATAATTAAGATTTTCAATGTCAATTTAGCCATATACATATATATATATATGGTTCTGCTAATTAATTACAAGAGCTAAAAGAAGATTTCTAGGACTGTGATATTGATCCCATCCTCTCACTTCAGCAAACTCAGCCAACCTTCTGCTAAGTTCCTTCAGCGAAACATCTCTTGACCTTGTTTTCAGAAAACCGTTAGAACAATCCATGTCTTGTTTTCTAGGATCTCTGTCCAACTCATGCTTCATCCAAATGCTTTGCGTGTCCAATTTATAGACAACCACGAATTAGGGGACTCCACGATCGAATAGCAAAAAGGGAAAACAAAATAAAATAGGTTATTTAGATAAATTTCTCAACAAAGTTTTATAGTAAAAGAAAAATAATAGAATATAAATTAAAGTAATAAAATAAATCAAATCAAATTTTAACTAAAATAAAGATTAACTTTTAGATTTTAATTTTTTTGTTTCAAAATCCCCTTCATCTAATGAACTCATCAGAGCATAATATTTGTCATAATAAATCTTAACAATAAAATCTTATTACAATTAGAAAACTCCTATAAAATAAAAGCTATTCTAAATTACGTCAAAGACTTGATTGGAATCTGATTTATTTTGTTCGCTCTATTTGGTTAAGATATGGAGTAGTTGTTATAGTGGAGGAGCACTTGATTGATTTTGTTGTAGGACACTAATCATGTGAGGTATGGCAGGTATGTCCCCGTCTTCCAATCCATGACTTGAAATCAATGATACCCACCTGAATATTGACAGCCATGGGCTCCTATAAATTACTATGATTGCCTATCACCTTCACCTATACATGTCCATTTTTTTAGATCCTTTTCATGTTTTGTTGAGTTTCTTCCTAGGATCCAGCTTTATTTCCTGCCAATTTGCTTTCATTTTCCTGTCATGTTGATAAGGTTGATAATGTTTCAAAGTTGTTGATGAACGACAATGTGGGATCATCAAGAGTTGGATCATGTTGATGTTGAGGAAAAAATAGCCATAACCGATCAAATAGGTACGGGTTAAAGGGTGGACGGTGCATGCAATGTTTTTTCTCAAATCAGACTCGAATCAACCCAATTTTGGGTTTTGTTAGTGTACTGGATAGGGAACTGCTCCGTCTTACATGTAGGAAAAAGAAACCGAGTACCTATTCAGCCTAGTTTGGCCGAATATCTTGTTATCAGGATTAAAAGGTAATTAACTCAGTTAAAGGTAATAATCAGAACATTATTTACTTTAAGTAAAGGGACAAAAGACTGACTCATCAGACCCATTAGCCCATAATAAAACCTATAAAAGGAAAGTAAAGGGTCAAAATTAAGGCTGACTCATCAGGCTCATTAGCCTATAATAAAAGCCTATAAAAAGAAGGTAGGAAATACATGTAAAGGATTGACTTTCATTATTAAATAGCATTTATTGCTCAGAACCGAATCCTGACTTCAGCATCAGAGTGCTTTTTGCAGGTACTCTCCCATGTCAGCAACGGTAAGAGAGACGTCATCGCTACATATTAGAAACTTGAAGATTAGTGTTTCCCAAGCAGGAACAGTTAGTTCAAATCATATACTTTAATTTTCACGCCAAAAATATTTAAAAAAATAAAAGATAAAAAAAATTGCAAGAGGATGGGTCAAGAAGCATTTTGGGTCTCGAAAATCACAACTTCGCGACTGTGTTGATGTGCGTGGAAAGAGATTATTTTTCCAGGGAAAAGATAAGTCTTGCAATGCACCTAATCTTTAAACAATGAAAATTTGATAAATTCATCCATTGAATTGTATAATATCATATTCATGGTCGTTTAACAATTTTTTCTTACAATTACGTAAAATATTAAATAATATTAAAATTAAATAAACTTTTATATTTTTAAAATATATTATACATTAAATAAAATTTATTACTAAAATATTAAATAATATTAAAATTAAAATTATATAAAATTTTGTAGACTTATTTATCAATAATTTATTTTAAATAACTACCGAATTTGTTATGTGTATATCCTTAATTACACTCTTAATTTTTAATTCTTCAATTATTTACTACTATTATATTTATCAAAAACTATATAACAGGCATGCAATGTACAACATTATGAGATGAAATTATAATTAAATATTTAAATATTAACAAGTTTAAAATATATTATTTATTAAGTCAATTAATCAACAAACTATACGTTAATTTGTACAAAACTTCTTCTAAAATAATTTGTTTGCCTTTGAGCAAGACCACCTTATAATATGTAATCAAGAGTATCTTTCTTCCTTCTATGCAACATAGCAAAATTTAAACAATTTTGGGGTCGTCGATGATTTGATCCCTACCTCCCATGGTTTTGACAGCTGCTTATGTTTTGCAACACAGTGATAAACTTGTTGCTTCTTGGATTTTGAATTTCATTTAAAGGGAAATCATTAAAAATGTGATCTACTCCTCATTTGTGGCTACTATATGGCTCAGCCTTAAGGAGTGTTTTCAACAAAATAATGCCCTCAAACTCAAAAGCATTGGTATTAATCAAGGAACCATGACTATTAGTTAACACACTTAATTAAGTTGGAGGCATTGTGAGAAGAATTGGGTGAGTATAAACCAATTGATTCGTGCATCTGTAGTGGTGTTCGACCTATACATTCTTTTCTTTATGGGTCTAACTGATTTTATTTTTTCGAATTAGAGGTAGATCCTCCTCATGTGTCACACACATCCCATATTGTCCAAATCATAAGTAAAATATATTTTATTACAAATTTATTAGCCACTACATAGAAAATAAATGGATTAATTTTTTATATTAACCTTTTGATAACCAATAACTCCTAATTTACTACTATTTATTGTGTGATTAATAAATTGTGCGATTAATTGTCTAAAAATTCTAATAATGCACCTTATAATTTGACCCGCATCCATTTAAAGATAAGAAAACAAATTCTTTTATTTGTTTAGCATTTTGGGCAAGATTTTTTTGAGATTCTAACATGTTATAGTTTTGTGTGCGCAAATCGTTCTGTGTAGTTGTGTCAACATTGAGAGTGAGTCTAGAATCAAATTGCATTGGAGTTATGTTAAAATCTTGCTTTTAAGGTAGTGATTATCCACAACATAACATTTTTGTTCCTACTCATTTATAACAATTTGAAAGTAAGAGTTCTTAAAACTATAGCAATGTTGCTTAAATAGAACGCTCTTAATTGACATATCAAGAGTTGAGCCTTCAGATGACACCAATAACAAATGTTCATCACAAAAACTACTAAGGCTCAAGCTGTAAACATTCTTGTTAACAATGATGACAACGCTCAAGCTATTATAGAAGCTACTAAGGCTCTCAAGACTTATGAAATGTCCAACAAATTGGCATTTGGACATATTCTTAGTCATATGCCTAACAATTTGTTTCATTTTTTTCTCTCAAAATAATTTGCAAAGTCTATTTAAAAAATACTTAAAACAAAAGAGTTAATGATGCTGGAAATAAAAAATAAAAAATATGTCACCGTAAAATGTTTGCAATTTTAGATAGTGATGACAAGTCAGAGTAACAAAATAGGTACATGTTTATGAAAATTTAATTGCAAATATTTTTAACGAAGAGATGCAAATGTGTGAAATATTTCAAGCCAATGTGTTGTGGAAAAACTTTTCACAGAATTAAAAGATTAATATCATTTAGAAGAAGTGAATATAGTACAATTAACCTTAGCGAATTTTTTCGTGAGAAAAAAATAATTATTCATAATTTACAACACCATTATACTCATCAACAAAATAGAATAGTCTACAGAAAAAGTTGAACTAAAGGATATAATCAATGCTATGTTAATTAATTCAGGTATGTTCAACAATATGTGAAAAAAAATATTTTATTTTTTTGCTATATTCTTAATAAAGCACCTTATAAAATTATAGAAAAAACTCCCATATAAATTGTGGGAAGGTTATCTTCCTAATTTGAATTTTTTGAAAATGTGTAGGATTTTAGGTAAGAATACTAGAATTTAAATATATATATATATATATAAATGCTAAAAATTTTATATTATTTTTAGTGATTATGCATAAGATAGTGCATAATTAAAGTTACTCTTGTTAAAATCCTATATGATACAAGTATGTGTTTTAAAAAAAAAAAAATAGTGAAGTGAGTGTATATCAGTTTGAATATACAAAAATAATTGATAGTGTTCTGTTTTTATTAATTATATTAAACTTGATATTGCATATGTTATGAGTAAATTGAGTCATTATACTCATAATTACAATGATGATAATTAGAATATTTTGCATTGATTGGTGAAATATTTAAAAGGTACTATACATTATAGTTTACATTTTATTTTTAATTTTCTTTCAATTTTAGAAGACCTTTTAGATGCTAATTAGATCATAAATAATGATGAAGTAAGCTCCACTGAGTATGATTTCATCTTAGATGAATCAGTTATTTCTTAAAAATCTACAAAATAAATATATATCATTCTACAATGGAATTTGAATTTTTTTTTCTTGATTTAGCAAGTCAAAAAGTAAAATGATTAAGAAATTTATAGGCAAGTTTACCATTATGTAAAAAAACCTACATCAACAATATCACTACGTTGTGATTCAAAAGCAGCATATAATAGAAAAAAAAAAACATATACATGTGAGACATAGTGTTGTTAGACCAATGATTAAAAATGGTTTAATTTTCCTTAAGTGTGTAAAAAATGAAAGAAACTTAGTTGATCTCCTCATACAAATTAATTAACTAGGAGAGTAGTCTTGGATTCATTAAAAGTAATGAGACCAAAGCCTTAAAATGATAAAATATGGTGGATACTTAAATTATTGGTAAAATATCACATCATTATTCAATTGAATTTCATTTCCATCCTTATGACATATAGTAATAGATAACACAGCCTAGTTCAAATTTGCTATTGAGACACACTTGATATATCTACATATAGTCTTGTGAGATGATGTTATTAAGATACACTTAATGTAGATAACATACAATCTTATAAAATATTATTATTTATTTATTGAATTTATTTATAGTATTACTAAGACACACTTCATATATTGTGAAATATTGTGTGGGAGAACGAGTAGAAAATGTCCTTTATAAAAAAAGCTGAGGTACTTTTTTTCAAAAAATACTCACAGTCCCAAGGTAAATAAGAGTGGTTTTA